CTGAGAAAATACCTCTGAGCAAATATCTCTGATAATGAGACCCATGGTAATACCTACAGCATAGAGCACCTATGAGAGGATATCAGCAATGGTGAGAGAGTGTGTGTGGTGGTGTATGTGTGTGAAATGATATAATTTACTTCAAAAATTTGCTGGGCATCGACTATTCAGAAGATTTTATACAGAGTTATTAGTGAGATTGTACTGTAGGAGAATAGGGGAGGAGGCAGGGGCAGGAAGTAAGATATTGAAGCATATCATCATAGAAAGAAATGGATTCTTTTCCTGGACACTGGAAAACCCTCTGTAAAAAACATTTCATGTGACATCTGAAGTAGATTAAGAATTATAAGCCAGGAAAGGACACAAGAAAAAAAGACAACTTCAGACCAATATCCCTTATGAATATAGATGCAAAAATCCTCAACAAAATTTTAGCAAATAGAATTCAGCAGCACATCAAAAAAATAATTTACCATGACCAGGTGGGCTTTATTCCAGGGATGCAAGGCTGGTTTAACATATGCAAATCTAAAAATGCAATTCGCCACATAAATAAAAGCAAAAACGAAGACCATATGATTCTTTCAATAGATGCAGAAAAAGCATTTGACTAAGTCCAACACACCTTTATGATAAAAAATCTCATCAAAATAGGCATAGACGGCTCATTCCTTAAAATTATCAAGTCCATCTACAACAAACCCACTGCCAATATCATATTGAATGGGGAAAAATTGAAACCATTCCCACTTAGAACCGGAACCAGACAAGGCTGCCCTCTATCTCCACTTCTACTCAACATATTGCTCGAAATTCTCGCCACAGCAATTAGGCAAGAGAGGGGTATTAAGGGTGTCCGAATGGGGACGGATGAGATCAAACTCTCTCTCTTTGCTGATGATATGATATCATATCTAGAAAACCCCAAGGATTCATCTAAAAGACTTCTAAAACTGATAAATGAATTCAGCAAAGTCTCAGGATACAAAATCAATACATACAAATCTGTGGCATTCATATATGCCAATAACGGTCAAGCTGAAGTTCAAATAAAAAATGCAATTCCTTTTACAATAGCCTCAAAGAAAATTAAATATCTAGAAATATATTTAATGAAAGATGTGAGAGACTTATACAGGGAGAACTATGAAACACTAAAAAAAGAAATTGTAGAAGATGTAAACAGATGGAAAAAC